GGGCTGCCATATCTTCCACGTGCACCTGGTTATGCTCTCCATTGCTCCATCTCTAACTCTTGTTCATAGAAAGAGAAATAAAATGTGCGGGAAAATTAAATATTGACAGTCATTTATTTTTCCATCTTTTTCTTTAAAGAAACCAAACACAGGGAATTAACATACTGTATTGCGTGTTGACAGTAAAGAGATTTCCACTGGAAAGGACAGGCAAACAAGCAGTCACCACAAGCACCTGGTGCTGTTGACGTACGGAAGGCAAAACATAGCTGCCCCCTCTGAGGTTCGAACTCAGGACCTTCAGATTATGAGACTGACGCGCTGCCTACTGCGCTAAGGAGGCAGGTGGTGCATGTTGTTTCATCACAATATTTTAGCCCCGGTTGCACTTTGACTTCTGTTCCACCTAATTTTTATCTTGTTTCTAAAATGAAGTGTCCGTCTGGAATGTATTAAAAGCTCCAACACCTGAAAACTTGTTGCCGATCCCGCTGTTGCTGGAACCCCTCCCTCTAAACTGATCGCCCTGACTTCTCACCTCGGATGGGAAATCTGCGAAACTTGCTGCCGAGCAACGTGAGCGGCCACCTGCAGCTGTATCCAGCTACTTCCTCTCCACGGCAAAGGAAGAAAACCCGCACTTTCAGCCCTCGACGTCTCTCTTTTCCCATGTATCTCATCTTTCCCACCGAGGAAGTGTCCACTTGCTGCCTGCCTTAAACGGGATCTGTCTTCGGCTCAATGCCTGGTTTCCAGCCCTTGCCTCCCTCGCTTGCTCCCTCTCTCACACCCTGAAAGGTCATCTCGGCGCCAACATCACCGACTTTTCAGCCCCTGCAGGCGGTCCCCTAGGGACCCACCTGTGGTCCTGGTGCCGCCTCTGGAAGTCCGCTGGTCCGGCGATGAGGGGGCCTTGCCGCAACTCGACCCTTCATTTCTGGCTCCCCGGGAGCTTTCCAAGCCCCGGAGTTATTGCAGCAGCCGTCGGAGCTGAGGGGCCGGTGCTGCGCTCTCCCGGGCTTTGCCCTCGGCGTCTCAGCTCTCGGGAGAGGCTAGTCCGGGGCTATGAAAAACCCGGTTTTCGGTGATGGGGGTGGAGGTCGGAGAGGAAACAAAACTGAACAAATCACGTAAGAAGCACTTCCCTTGCTGGCGTCGTCCGGCCTAGGCTGGCGTTATCCGGCGTCTGGGGTTCTGACGCTGAGGTTCCTAATCCGGCTTTTTTCAGGTCCCTGGGGTCTTCGACGAGCGCCCCTCGGAGTGCGGAGACTCGGAGACGAGGTGAGCGGGTGCGTGTCTGCTGCCTCCTGCGTCCCTGCTGTTGCCTGCCTGTAGCTGAGTGAGAGGGACGAGTTTTCCCAACCCCAGGTTCAGCATTTCCCTACAACCACCTTGCCTCCAGGGAGGCAAGAAAAGCTGGGCCTGGTCCTCACTCCTTCCTTTTCTTGGAATTCCTCCACCTCTAGGAACAGCCCAGATCCCCAAAACTGTAAAAAGTCCAGCGTGCTGAAGGACGGGACCTCTGCCATGCTGTCACATCCTCCACGCCCCGGCAGGTGCCACCACTTTGAGTTTATTAATCTCTAATAAATTCAACTTGGGTGTGAATTTGTTCCACATTTCTTCTCTCTCTGCACCATGTCCCTAATACCCACTATAAATTGTTCCGTTCTGCTTTGCTCTAATCTGTTGAGGTCTAGTGCAGTATCTGAATGACGTCCCGTAAATTGTATTTGACAATATTGTATAGGTTGTGACAAGACCATGTACACCTAAACAGTGTTTCTTTTCTTCTTTTTAAAGACTCTTCAGAAAGCCAAAATAAATAAATGTATAAATATAAATGGCATTAGAAAAAAGCAGCCAAGTTTGAACAGGATCTTTTTCATTTCTTCTTCTTCTCCTTTTTTTAAAATTTAATTTTATTTTTATTGGAAAGTCAGATATACGGAGAAGAGAGACAGAGAGGAAGATCTTCCACCTGTTGATTCGCCCTGCCCCGCAAGCGGCAGCAACAGCCCAAACTGGGCCCATCTGAAGCCAGGAGCCAGGAGCACCTTGCGGATCTCCCACAAGGCCCCAAGTGGCATCGGTCAGGGTCCCAAGGCCATCCTTGACTGCTTTTCCAGGCCACAAGCAGGGAGCTGGATGGGAAGTTGAGCAGCTAGGACATGAACTGACAACCACACAGGATCCCAGAGAATGCAAGATGAAACTATAGCCAGGCCCAATATTTTAAATTTCTTCAGTGAAAGCACAATCTATTGGAAACAAAGTGGTCACAAGTCCAAAGCATCATTGTGTTTTAAAGCTGCTTTCCTTGATTAACTTAGGATGAGATTCAGTAGTCGGTGTGCCTTGGGGTACTTGGAGTGATAGACGCATCAGTCTATGACATGATGAGTACATAAACATCACAGACCTGAATGCAAGGAGCTGATCAACCAAAATAAGCTTTCCACTTCCCGCTTTTACAAAGTGGAAAGATTTTTGTGGGATGTTAGATACTATTTCCTACAAGCCTTAAAATTTGCTGTTGCTGACAAGTCCTGAACATTCACTGCTCAAAAGTTTTGTTGAAATGGTATTCAACTCGTGCAAGCTTTGGCAGCACAGGTACTAAACTTAGAAGGATATAGAAAACATTAGCATGACCTCTTTGCAAGGAGGAAACACGTATCCCTGAAGGATTAAAAAGAGAGAGATTCAGCTTGATTTTTTCACGTACAAGTGACACTGGGAATCTGGGCTTGGTACAAGCAGAACCAAAAGTCCAGGTAAATGTGCCTTTGGACTGTATTCAACCTGCAGCACTCTATCAAAGACAAGAACGATATCCTGGTCCTTCTTTATCGCCGACTCCATGCACCCTTCCCGAACTCTGAACTTGGCTGGTGCTGGACTCCGGCCGTTTATCACCACCTTTACCAGGCAGTTGGCCAGTGCAGAGCTTGGCAGTTTCCATGCATCTGACAAGGCTCCAAGGATTACCCTGGGAGAAGTGCGCAACCTGGAGAAGATAAGCCTCACACTGCCCCCACTTGCCATGGCCGACTGAATCCCTAGGCTGAGCGGCTGAACTACAAAGAATCCAGATAGTTCCCTCTTTGTCACACAAGAAATACCGAGAGCAGTGGGGCTGGACTTGGGTGAAATAGCCAGAAACACCTCTGAGAGTGAGTCCTTGGGATTTTAGCTGTGCCCCCAGGCCCAGCTCTTACATACAGCAAGCCATCAAGTATTCATCCTAAATCATGACTTCCCTTAAGATTTTAAAGTTTAGAAACCCTGTCTAAGTTTGGGGAACCCAGTCTTGATCAAGCCATAAACCTGTGGCACTATGACTTCCTTCTTTCCTTCTTTCCTTCTTTCCTTCTTTCCTTCTTTCCTTCCTTCCTTCCTTCCTTCCTTCCTTCCTTCCTTCCTTCCTTCCTTCCTTCCTCTCTCTTCCTTTCTTTTCCTCTTTCACCACTCGTGTATTTCAACCATTTCTCTCACGTCCCTACCTTTCCCGATCACTGTAACAGCCTCAGTTTGATTTCTAATCTGGTTTCCAGCCTTGCTGGTCTCGTGGTCTCGCTGTCCGCAGCTGCCACACAAGGCCCTCTGTAAAAGGCATTTGCAGAAAAGACGAATGGGGACCAGAACTGGATCTGAGTTCTGGAGCCAACAGTGAAGACAGGTGGTAATTTCCTTACTTCATCAGACAGGAGGACGGGTTATTGCTATGCAATTTGTATAAAGTTACTGTGTGTGTGAACCATAGCGCTGCTTCTGCAGTCCTGGCAGTAGACTGCCCTGAGTTTCTCACAGAGTGGTGGCTCACACTCTGACAGGAGGCATCATGCAGATGTAGGTGCATAGGAAGCAGGTGCAAGCTTTCTTCTGGTTTAGGCCTGGAACTGGCACAGCACCACACAGTGAATTCATCAGATCAGCCCAAATCCTCTGTGAGGTGGAAAACAAAAAGGCATGACCCTCCGAGAGACCTGCTACTTTAAGTTACTTTTTGAAGATTGGTGATCTCCAAAACAGGTAACTTTTTCTTGGCAGCCTTATCTTTCTCCTCTTGGTCTGGGCATCTTTGATTTCTGGAAGCAGGAATTAGTGATTTTCCCAGATATGAGCACTGCTTCAGCTTTGCACCTGTTGGTGTTCCAGGTGAAGGATCTTGCCACGCCTTCTTTCTAAACTGCCTAATTACAGCTCAAGTTTCAGACCCTGCGCAGGTCAGGTGCCTGTGTTGGTGAGCCCACTCTTCAGCCCCTACTTTCTAGGAAGGAAAATATGAATAAGTCTTGACTTTCACAGATTTGTCTCTGTTCCTTATCAGGTAATAAGCTCCAAGGAAGGGTGCATTCTGTCCCTAAATTTTCCCAGGAGAACTTGGTCTATTCTGCTCACAGGTCTCCACACAGGTGACTGATAGCAGTGACTCCCGTTTACCATTAAGTGCAAATGTACCGAACTTGAAATTGTGCAAATATTAGCGTATGTAAGGCATTTTGCACGGTATCTTGGAGAACTGAAGAGGGAGAAGGAAAATGTCCTTATTAACGTATGGGGCTGAACTTGGGTTTCTCATTTTCTACTTAATTTTTTTCCATTCTAATGTTGGAATGTCATCCTGAGGTGACTGTTAGCTGGAAACTTGAAGAGCCACGAGGTTCCACAGCTTGGACAACCCTCAGTTGTCCATCAATAACACTGGCATGACACGGAGCATCTTAGAAATGTAGAAACTTCGTCACTGGCCTACATATCACAGTATTAAAATCTGCATTGCTAAAATGATCCCCAGGTAATTTTTTCTCAAAGCATTGATGGTTGCTAAGTATACAGCTCTCCACCCGCTCCCTTTCCAGACGTGTGGCTATTTGTGTAGTGCACCTATTTGTAAAGTTTCCAGAGACGACATTCCCGCCTCCGCCAGCTCCTCCCACAGTCGGCCGCTTTGGGCACTCCTGAAGCCCTGGAAGACCGGGGCAGCTCCCGGGGAGCGCCGGGCGCGGTGGCGCGCGCCTGTAGTCCCAGCTACTCGGGAGGCTGAGGCCGGAGGATCGCGGGTGCTCGGGAGCTCGGAGCTGCAGCACCGTGTGGAGCGGGCGTCCGCACTGGGCTTGGCACCAACATGGGGCTCCCGGGGAAGCCTGGGGGCTCCAGGTTGTCTAAGGAGGGGGGACCCGGCCCAGGCCGGACACGGAGCAGGTCAAACTCCCCGTGCTGGGCGGCGGTGGGACCGCGCCTGCGAGCGGCGCCTGTAGTTCCGCCCGGGATACTCGTCGAGACCCGGTCTCTCCTTTTAAAAAAAACTCCCCCTTTCGGGATTTTCCTTTTTAAAAATCTCTTCATGCTTGTATGCAGAAGACCAAGAGACTTAGCGATGGGGTTATGCACAAGTGCACTATGGAACCTTTTGCTCCGCCTTCGGGCTCAATCGAGGGCACCAAATAGACTCTTTCTGAGGCTTGGTGTCGTCGCGGTTTCTGTAGGCTGCCCTGCTCCCTCCCCCGCCAGCAAGGCAATAGCCTGTATTGCATTTTGCAAATACAGCTGCAGAAGAATGGCTCTGCAGGGCAAACTTTATAATCCAAGATAGGGATTTGCCATGCCTCTGCATTTACAGCGACTGGGCGCAAGAATCTGCACACAAACGTTTAGGGCAGCTTCATTTTGTAACCAACACCCAGATGTCCTTTGGTGAGTTCAAATCGTGGTGATCGTTTTATAGACTCCCATTCAGTAATGCAAAGGAACAAATGGATGATTTTCTGAGTGTAATTTTAATGAATGCAAAAGCCAATCACGAGAGGTTATTGAATGTGTGAGTCCATATATACAACGCTCGCAGAAAGGATTAAATTGAAAGATTGGTTGCTGCCTGATGGTGATACTGAGGGAGGAGGGTGTGTGCAACACGTGTGTGACTTGACCGTAGTGTTTCCACTTCCAGCTTGCGACATTGCACTAGAGTTTTGCAAAGTGCTACCTCCGGGAACAACCAGGTAGGGGTAACATGGAATCTTTCTTTCTTCCTATAAATGCATGCTAATCCATACTTGCTTAGAACGTTTTTAAAAAGGCAGTAGATGGTGGTCAGGACCCGGAGCGGTAGCGGTTTCTAAAAGGGACCCAGAGGCGAGCAGTCGGAGCAGCCGGAGAGTGCAAACACGGTGTGACGCACCCGGAGCAGGCTGTGGGAGAGCACAGTTTTCAGGCCCAGAAAGGGCTGCTCCAGGAATGCAGGGCTGTCGGCAGGCCTGGATCCTGCACCAAATGAAGTGCACGGTCAAGAGCAAGCCAGGATATGTGAAAGTGGGGAAGTTGACCGCAGTGGCTTCCTGAAATTAGAAGGCATACCCAGCGAGGGCGGGATGGAAAGGTGTGTGTCCCCCTTTTTACTAAGGGAGAAGACTGGCATTTTGCAGCTTGAAGGGAGGCCGGTGAAGAAGAACAGATCAAATACAAGGGCGGAGGCGGGAGTGGGGGAGCACCCCGACCTTCCCTGCTGCAGCCTCTGCAGCCCACACCCCCACCTGCACCCAGGAAACAGCTTCTCCAATTAAACGTGAGTGAGTGACTTCCTGTTTCAGAAACGTTTCCTGCAGTCCGCTTGCCATTCCTGTCACTCTTCTACAGAGTTGCACAAAAGTTCACTTAGCAAATACCAAGTTCGGACAGACCAAAGTCAGCAACAAAAGTTAACAAGTGTCCCTCAGAATAATCTTCTCTTTCAGAGGTGTCTGTTCGGACCACCACTCCTTTTTGTAGGAATTTTAAAAACTAGCAGAGAATAAGAGTGGGAGGGGCTGTGAGAGAAAGGAGGTTCATGAAGAACAGGAGAAAGAATCTCTTGATTTTAGTTTAAAACTGCTGGAATAACTCCGAGGGATTATTTATTTATTTTTTTAAAGAGGGGAGGGTAAGTTTAGAGAAGGAGAAAAACCTGGTATAAAGTTCAAACCAAGAAAGAAAATGCCAACTGTTATAAAGGTGACAGTGGTTTTACTTCAGCACATTTGTCTCTTCCTCCTTACATTTAGGTGTTTGGCGAAGTCCAAAGTTAGTTTCAATCAAAACAATCTTTTTATTACAATACGTTACAATACAATCCCTTATGATTTCTAATAAGATTCATTTTTTAAAAAAGGAAGGGGGGAATACATATTTTTATTTATAGAAAGAAAACTCCAAGCAGCAAAAAAGTCACAGTCTGCCGAAACCCGGGATCGAACCAGGGACCTTTAGATCTTCAGTCTAACGCTCTCCCAACTGAGCTATTTCGGCTCCGCCCACGCCAACTTAAAATGAACTATAATGAACCAAACAATTTAAAAAAACTCATAGCTATTTAATAAGCACCGTTATAAGAATTTTCAGCAAACCAAAAATAAATTTAGAAACGTTCTTTGTATTCGAATGGCTAAAATATAGCATGAAGAGAAAGATAAAAAGACCGTTACAACCTGATATCACAAGAATTTCTGCAGCGATTTACAAGCAACACTGATTTCTAGTTCACCTCACGCCGTTAAGAGTCTCCACCATCCAGCCACGAGTGTGAATTACCTCCTCGGGTTGCCACTCGCCCTGTTTTCCAGAGTTTATGGGTTGGTGCGTGCGAGCCTGAGGGTCGGGCTGCTGGTCCAATGGGGGCGGAGAATCATCCGCGTGCAAACGAAGCTTTAACCTGGTAAACGTTTTACTGAGACCTGCAGCCAGCTTCCCTGGTGGTCTAGTGGTTAGGATTCGGCGCTCTCACCGCCGCGGCCCGGGTTCGATTCCCGGTCAGGGAAAATTACTTTTTGCAGCAAACAACGTTTTTAGGAACCTACTCATAATAAACTAATCTTTAATTTTCACACGCGGTTGTTTTACACTTAAAGGCCCTTCACCCTTTTGGAGATTTCAAGAGTGGAAAGAGCACAGATTATAAATTCAGTCTTTAAGAACGCTTCGCCACTGAGTGCCGATTGGTTCAAATTGAAGGCTCTCAGCGCTTGCAGTATTTGGGGCTTCTTCCCCTCGGTGCATGCGTGAGTGGGACATTGGGGATCTGTGGAGACGGACATAGCCCTTTCAGGAAAGCGGCGACGTGGGAGCCTTTCCCTGGAGGTTGGGGTTCCCCGGGCGACCCCGATGCCCCCCAGGACCAGTAGGACCCCCAGGATCACGCTAGCCGGGTCCGGCGACCAGAGCTTTCCAGGCCCTCAGCACCTGCTCCCCTCGAAGGTGCAGATCGTCTGCTTTGAACTATTTTTCGCAGGAAGGGAGTGAGGGAAAGTCATCAGAGCGGAGTGAAAACAGAGAAACTTCTCCAAGACCGAAGCAGGCTGCTGTGTGTACAGCCCTCTTCCGGCACACCCGGTCGCCCCCGGGGGTCAAGCGCTGTGGTTTTCAGCCACACACTCCCTGGCAGCTCGCTTTGGGGGCCCCGGGGAATGGGGGGGACCCCGGGTCCCAGGCTGGAGCGACGCCCACCCACCCCGGCAGGGAGCGGCGCTCTCCCTGATCCCCACGCGAACCGCCCTTGTCTTTCGCTCCAGGGACGTTTGGGCGAGGACTGGGATCCCCCACCTCCTCGTTTATAGTCGCTCAGGGACGTGCGCTCTGCGGGGTGGTAGGACCCCTGCCCCCATTTCCCCTCAGGGCCTTCGGTCAACTCCTTCTCGAAGTCTGTGAGCGGCAGGGCTCCCCCGGGTCGCCGCGCTCCGGCACCTGCGGCCTGCAGCGTCCGGAGCTCCGCCCGCCTCCAGTGTGGGCTAAGGGCGCGGGCGTCTCGGCCGCCAGGGGTTCTTCCTCAGATTGTAACCCAGGCGCCCGGCAGAGGTGCTGATGGCGCCAGGAAGGGGTGCCAGGCAGGGGTGCTGATGACGCCAGGCAGGGTGCTGAAGGTGCCAGGCAGGGGTGCTGAAGGTGCCAGGCAGGGTGCTGAAGGTGCCAGGCAGGGGTGCTGAAGGTGCCAAGCAGGGGTGCTGATGGCGCCAGGCAGGGGTGCTGATGGCGCAGGCATGGGTGCTGAAGGCGCCAGGAAGGGGTGCTGGTGGCGCTAGGAAGGGGTGCTGAAGGCGCAGGCAGGGGTGCTGAAGGCGCCGGGGGGAGCGCTCACGAAAACAGCTCCAGGTAGGAAGGCACTGGCAGACCGCACTGACTCATAGGGAGAAACTGGGGCAAACACTCTCCCAAGTTGGGTAGCGTGGCCGAGCGGTCTAAGGCGCTGGATTAAGGCTCCAGTCTCTTCGGGGGCGTGGGTTCGAATCCCACCGCTGCCAAGATCCTTTTCTCTCCGTTTTCCTATCCAATAACGTCGGTTGAACTTACATTTACTTCTCCTGTAGCTTCAGAGGTTTCCTAACCTCCTTCCTTTTCTCCACCCCCCGATCTTAAATTGGAAGTTGTTTCCTTGTTCGAACCTTCCCTGAACTAACCAGTGGGGTTAGAATTTTCACAGGGTGTGGCCCACACATCGCCCACATAATCTATCCCCGGATATGGTTACTGTCATGGCCCTGCCTAATGTGATCCGTCTGCTGATGAATCATCATGTCAGGTAATAGGATATCCTGCTGGACAAACCCAGACCCTTAGCTTTTCCATGAACTGGTGTTCGGTGCTCAGCATTGTTAAGTGATTACAAGTTCTTCAAAGGAAGAGTTACTGTCATTGGGAATCTTTAGGATTGACTCGCTTCCCAGAAGCACAATGGGTTCAACCTGGAGCTACCTAAGCAGCGATTCAAAGAACCAAAACCGCAGAGCTCCCTGCCTGCTGGAGCTGCCCAGGCTGCTGGAAGTTTAAAGCCCCAGGCCCAAGGTCGCGCCCCTCCCAAATCCCATTCACCGCCCATCGAGGGCGGTAGTTGGGCCCTGGACCTACCCAGCTACGGAGACCTCCCCTCCATACTCACCCCGAAGGGAGCAGCCCCCCAGCCCAGGCAGGCCGGGGACAGCTCCCCACGTGGCTGGATCGGGATCCGAGCAAGGTGCCCGGTCCTGAGGCCCACCCATTGGCAATCTCATGGGCTAATTGCTTCAGTAACAATTTCCTAGTGCTGTTTCCCTTAAC